TTATTTTAATATAAAAATAAAAATTATTTCTTAATAAAATTATAAATTTTAATATAAAAAGAAAATTTTAATTTTCATTATATTTTATTTATAAATTTAACTTCTGAATCATTATTTTTGGTCATCACTGTATATATTTGAAAATAAGATTTAATTTTACTCACTCTTAAAAAAGCAAAATTAAATAATTATAAAAATATATAATTATAAAAAAATATTATTTTAATTATAATTACTTAAGAATTAAAAAACTCAAATTAAATAATTATAAAAAAAATAATTATAAAGAAATATAATTATAAAGAGATTTAAATATATTATTTTTATTTATCCTTTTTTATATTTTTTAAAATTAGAAGTTCTTTTTTTAATAATCATATTTTATATAAAGAAATGGTAATTAGTTTTTAATATTTTATTTTGAGTTTCTTTTTTTTGAAATAACAGAAATTGATATGCTTAACAATTATAAGTTTATTCTCTTTCCTTCCATAATTAAGCAAATTCTATAACTTGTAAATATAATATTTTAGATATTGGTACAAGAGTTTTAAAATAACTAAATTTCACTTCTTGCTCTCAATTCTTATTTATAAGCTAAATCTTTTAAATTCTATTATTAGAAATAATCTATAACACCATATTGTGATTACGTATATTATAAGATTTATATCGTTCATATTAGCAAATTATCCCCGGTGTGTTACAATTTTTTACCTTTTTTGTAAACTTATGATAGCGGGTGTAGAATGGAAGCAGTGTTGTACACTAATGTTGCCAAGTGATATTTGGCGGACACGGGATATGTTCAAAAGTATGTGTTCGTGTCTTACAAACACAAACAAGTTCTTGGCCAGCACTAAGTTTCACAATTGATAAACGCGAAAAAGCCATTTGTTCCTGTTCCATGGCAACACTGATAATTTCAACCAGAATTACGTACGGGGTTTATTACAATTTATCGAACTTGTTGTCTATTGTGGGTTTTAGACTACTATAAGAGGGGTGGTGGTCTATGCAGCAAATTATGTTCTCATAATTATTTGAATTGGTTTGCATTCTTTTTGAATACCAAATATTGGTTATAATCAATATGAAACTTGTCAAAGAATTATATTAAGAATCGTACATACATTCATGCATGCATGCATGCATGATATGATCTTCAATCTGTTTCATATTTTTTAATGTCAAAATTTTGCTAGTCAACTAGTAATACAAGAAAATAAAAAACCTAGATTAAGTGTACATTAACAAGATGACGACAGATTGTTTTAGAGAATGTGTGCGTGTGTGTGTGTGTGTGTGTGTTTTATAAAAAGATATGTATGTTCCCCCTTTGTGAATAATAAGATCGGTAAACAACAGGATATATATAATAAACAAAAGTAAAATAAAGGAAATAAATAAAAAAACGTAAATGTCTTGCAGTGACTTTATACCTGAGAATTTATTCGTTACTGTTATTATGGTTGACCAAAATCTCATGAAACAGAAAAAGATTTTGATAGAATGTACGATTGAAAGAGCTCTTTACAACTATTAATCATCATCATCTTCGATTGCCCATCGTCGTCCAGCATTGGTGCCTGCGTCTGACATGGAGAGATCGCTATGTGGATTTTCGTCTTGTTTTCCTTTATATACTACAAGCATGATTAATAATAGGTGCAAAGTAAAATTATCGAATCGCAAAAGTGTTAATATTCATGAGTATAGATAAACTTCCAAATAAGTATCTTAAAGTATTCTTACAGAGTTCTTTCAGCCCTTGATTGAAATTGCGCATTACTAGGACCGACCATATCGCAGTTACCTAAAGGAGATAATATTAAGATTAATTGAATGATAAACTTTCGGTTTTTCATAATAAATGGTAAATGCTTACCCCAGTTAATATACAGCTCCCAATGACTAATGATAGAAATGAGAACGTGGTGGATTAATCAGTATACTATACTTTTAAAACTACAGATTTTTATCACAATGATATAAAAAGAAAATCAACATACTGAAAAATACCCAAAAGTACCACGTCGTTTGCACGCTCGAAGTTATAGATTTTGTCAACAGAATGATATAATCAATAATACTAATGATACAGAATAGAGTGAAGATAGCCATTCCAGCTGCCCATTCTTTTCTCAACTAAAATAAACAAGTGAAACATGAATAACAAAAAAAAAATTAAAAGCGTAAAAAAAAATGATATAACTTACAGAAACATAAGCAAGGAATTGCATTATAACAATCAAAATTGTTAGTCCCAAGTGAAAATAATAAGCTCCTGACTGTAATCTTCGATCCGGATCATCACTCTTAATGTTTAACACGATCAATGCCAGAATCGAAAATGCCAACATGAAGAAGATGTCGAGTTTAAGTAACATGACGAAAATCAGCATCGTTCTGTATATAGCTTAAATATAAAAATAGAATATAAGATTAAAATTAAAAAAAAAATCTGAATTTCCCGATACAAATGTCAATAATAAAAATAGCGACAAAAAACAATTACGATGCTTACATTGTGTTCGTAAATCTGCGCCAATTCTCTTATAAATGTTCCATCCAAATTGTTGATACAGCTTGAACGCCAAGAATCCCAATGCGGTACCAAATATTAATAGCACAGCAACCAATGGCACTTCAAACGATATTATGTCAGCATCAGGCAGATTTCGTTGCTCCGGTGTGCATGATGCTCTGGCAGCATCAATATTGTCTTTGAGTTGCTTACGCCATCTCAATGTTTCAAAGATTTGCCCCTGATTTAATACAGAAGTTTTATTTAATTCATACGTTATTAACTTTACGATTAACGCAATCATAATACTCACTATTCCAAGAAGAGCACAAACATAATTAATGACCGCAATCGCGATCATTTGTATTGTATTTTGATTGTAAATCTAATAGAAGAAACAAAAGAATTAAAAAAAACTCCCACTATTACAATAAGATTGTCACAAAAATAAACGGATAATCATACCGCATTTACACAAAAAAGAAATTGAAAAGCCTGAAATCCCATAAACACTAAATTCTCTTGCATAATATTAATGATACGTGTTATCGAATCTGCAACATTACAGTCGGTCGGTTTCGAGTCAAGATTTCGCTTCTCGATATTGTTATGTGCGTACACCCTTCCCTCTAATACGATAACCAGAATAGCCTGCAAAATGGACGTTAAAATAAAAAGCTTTGTCCATTTTGATTCTGATACTCGATGAATCTATAGGGGAGGATATAAGAAAGGGGGGACTGTTAAGATAATTTTATGCTCAATAGGTTTTTTTTACGTTCAAATAAAGTGTGCTCATTTTTCGCTCTAATGAGATAAAAAATTGCAAGTATTTTCAAGTTTTCCCGTCAAGGTGTATGCAACTCAATGGGTGGGTTTTTTTTGGACAAGATTGTTTGTTTGTTTTAAATGAAGTCTGCATACCGTTTTCTCGATCATTTGTCTTGGTGGCCTAACCATCGCGTGCTATTTATTACAGTTCGCGAATTAATTATAATGGCAGCCCGTCAACGATTTTATTATATTTATTTTATATAGTACAAAGAATAGCTTGACGTTAAAAATTAGAAGAGATTAGAAGTGCAGCAAAAATCTCGAAATATGAAAGGGATAGAAAAAGAATAATAGTTAAACGCCTCAAAAAAAAAGCGTTTTAACCGAGTTATAATAAGATGGATACTTGTGAGGACTGACGGGGGAACTATTGAGAAACCAAAACATGTGCGGAGCAACAATATGTATCGACGTTACTGTACTTGCATGATCTTCTTTCTTTTCATTTACAAGAAAGTAAACAAATATTCAATATATTCAATTTATATTATATTATACATATGAGGGATGGTGGAGATGATTCCTAATAAACCCACAACTACAATAACCCGATAATTTATTTATATATATTAAATATTTCTTTATTGGATAACGACAAAAAAGACTGTTGAGCGCGTCGTTATTAGTGGCGTAGCCTCGTCGTTATTTTATACAATATATTTTGATTAATTCATTATTCATTCAATTCGTAGTTAAATTTAAAACACGCCTAACCTTTTTTGTGTATAAGTGCGTGTCATCCCCTTCTCGTCCACTCGCTCACTCAATTGTTCACTTTCTTGGATTCGAATTCTAAAGCGAAAGTTAAAAACCGCCTGTAAATTTTCATAGATTAACTCGTATCTCATGTCACCAAGTATAATGACTACGGTTTCAAGTCTATTTCGCACGCGTCTGCGAATACAAAACCTCTGTAAATTAGGTCATCATCATTTCATTAATAGTACCAATACCACATTATTTTCATTGGGCTATTTCAATAGTAATAGATTATATTCCTCCTCTTCTTCCTCTTCTTCGTCTTCGTCGTCTTCATCCTCAAATAGCAAGAGGAATCAACAAAACTCAAACAATAAACAAGAAACATTTGTAGAGTTAAACTATGTTGATCCCAGGGATTTGGCGCATAATACATTTTTTGCTTTACATCGTCCTTTACCTACTATCAACGATCAATTAGCGCCTGTTTGGGGGGCTGGTCAACAACAGCCACAAGGCTGGGAGGAGGAAGAAGAAGGTAAGGCTGATATTGTATATTTGTGTGTAAAGAGTTGTTTTATATTAAGCCTCAATCTTTTATTGTTGCTATTTGATGTTTGTATTTTTGTTATTTTTCAAAGCCGAACAATTATTTACTGATTATTTACCAACATTTTTAGACTTTGATGATGATATTTACGGAATAACATTTCGCACTACCATAATTTCCAACAACACGAATAGTAGTAATAATAGTAATAATAACAGTAATAATAACAACAGTAGTAGTAGTAGTAGTAATAGTAGTAGCAGTAGTAGTAGTAGCAGTAGCAGTAGTAATGGTAATAATCATCCCCCACTCACTAAATCCACAACCACGTTAATATTATCATCCTTACAACCATCACCTATTTCAATGACACCCGACGAATCACAAAAAGTGGTTGATCGTTTTTTCTCGGAAATCGAATCAAACATAAAGAAAGAAGAAGAAGAATCAGAGGCCATGCTTAATGTTTTTCTAAAGCCGGGAGAAGAAAGCCCCAGAGCAGCGTCAGTAACCGACAAAGTTTATAACGCGCGACGAAAGAAATCGAAATTAGCCGTTAATTATTATCGAGTAGGTGAAGAAGAGGGTGGTGGAGATGACCGTACGGAAAATAATAAAGTGAGAACTTATTACATGACGAACGTGAGGCAAAAGCGAAGATTGAAGATGAATAAACATAAGCACAAGAAACTTAGAAAACGTCAGAGAGCTTTAAGAAAAAGGTTAGGAAAGTAAATCTGTATTATATGATGCTTAATATGGTTGGTTGGTTGGTTGGTTAGTATACAGAAGAGATCGGGTGGTGATCGTGATGATGGTGATGATGATGGTGAATAGATTAATCGAGTACATAAAGCTAGTAGATTCCAGGACGATTATTGAAGTGACCGTATATATTTTATACATCTTAGTAATTCCGATCTGTCACAGTTTGGAAATGCTTTTGTTTTCTTTTTGTAAACTTTATATTTTATTTTTTCACCAATTATTTTATTCAATTATAACATAATCATTTATAAACCACTTACAGTATATAATATATATACTCCTGCCCATAGAATTCATAGATCTAAATTTAATGTAATAAATAATAATACATTGTACACACCAATAGATTTTTCATTACCTAGAAATTTTCGGGTTAAATAAAACTCGTGGTTTACTATGACAATTTGTTCCAGTTCCCAATCCCTGTTCCGTTTCCATTTCTATTTTTATTTCGGTATGTCGACTATGAGTGTTCATTGTCATTCGTTGTATACCCTTAAATGTTTTCATTTTAGAATCGCCTGATATCCAATTTTAGTTATATTAAGAAACAATTACATAATATCGATATAACTTAAACCGTAACGGTAAACGATAATGAAAACTCATTAGTGGATCATCATGTATTCATGCATCATCTGATCTATTTTGAAAATTTCAAGATTATTTTTTTAACAAATTTTTATGTCACAATTTATCTTTTTCCGTTATGCATTTTCAAAATAAAGGTAAGAATTTTTCATGAAAAATTATCATTGCTATTTTTTGTTTGGGGGGTTGTATATAAAGTCACATGATGAAAATTATAGACGGGCGGACGGAATAAAATAATGTCGAATGTCTAGTACTTTTTGTAGCATCTGAACTAGTCCCAAAAGAAAGAAATAATAAGTAATATCTAATAAGAGCAAGTGATCTAAAAAGAATTCTTTATTTTTTCATCAAATAAATATATATAGATAACAAAAACAACCCAATTTGATATTTATTCAATTTCATTCCCGAAAGTAAGTATTTACGCATCAGTCTCTTTTATTAATTCTCAAAAAAAAATAATTGTTAGATATGATTATAAGCTACATATTAGTAAGATTCTGAATGTATATTTTGTTGACTCCAAAAGTTCGGTTCATCAATGATCTATAATTATTATTTTATTATTTAATTTGATTTATGTCATTAACGATGAAAATATTTTGAATTTTTCTAACTTTTATCGATTTTCATCGTGACTTTTTTTACTTAGCTTGCTCCTCCATCAA